CTATCATGGGCAGCAGTGACTGCTCAGACACCCCAAAAACGAAGGGACTGGCCCAAAACAGCACTGCCAGACCCCTCCCAGCACCTGGACATGGCTGGAGGAAGGTGAGCAATGGGCAGGGAGGAGGAGGATGATTCCTCTCCCCCTGCCAGCCAGGGGTCACAGGTGTCCCCTCACCTTGACAACACCACACTGTTTGAAGAAATCTGCCAGATCCTCCAGGGTCACATTATCATTGAGTCCCTGCACATACACCGCAGTGCTGTCCGAGTCCTCCTCCGGGTCCATAGGTGGGCCTAGGAGACAATTCCCGGGGTCAGTGCAGGGACAGGAAGGGCAGGGATACCCCAGAGCCAAGTTCTTTCCATCCCGTCATCCCGGCGGCAGCTGCAGGCTCGCTCCCAGCGACAGCTCGCTCCCAGCGACAGGAAAACGCAGGCCCCAAGGGAGGTGACTGTACCCCACCCCCTCCTGTCTGCCACGGCCAGACAGACCCCACACCCACCCGTGAGGGGAGAACTGCCTGGTTACCCCAGGACACATCCCGGGGGAGCGGAGAGGAAGACCTCGGTGCCCTCTGGGCTCCCCCACACGCACACCCACCCCCCTTTCCGACGCTGGAAGGCTGACGCACAACTTCCAGACGCCTGTGCGACAGGAAGGGACGAGCCGCGCGGCCACAGGCCGAGGTGGCGCGAGAGGAGGCTGCAGGGCTACTGCAGACTCCCTGGAAAATGCTCCAGAGCAGCCTCCAGACCCTCCTAACTCCTGCGGAGAAGGGTGGGCGTCTCACAACCACGTGAGGCTTTCCACAGTCCGGGTGTTCGGCTGAGTTGGGAATCAAGAAATGCTGGGAACAGCCAGGAAGTGGCAGAGCACTGTGCTCGTGGGGCTACACCTGCTGTGGGGTGGCACCTGTGGGGCCGCAGCCTTCGAAAGGAGGACACAAGTCTCTGTTTCACAAGCTCAGGAGGAGTCTGATGGGAATTACCTAAATCCAGGTCGGGTCCTTCCTCCATGTGTCCTGCCGGGCGGGAGAGAAACATAGGAAGCAGTGTTAGTGTGGGCCCTGCGGGCTGGAGAACCGACACACACAACTCTAGCTACGCCTCACCACCGGCACAGCGTGTGGGGAACTCCAACTCACCCGTGCTGCACAAGCAGCAGCACTGCACCTTACTGGGCCATCAGGTGGCTATTTTTAGCCCTTTTTCAAACCAATAACCACTATTACACTGGTTTTTAAGCACTTTTGCAAACCAATAACCACTATTACACTGATCCGTTATCAGTTTTCAAACCATTAACCACTATTACACTGATTTTTTAAAAAATGCTTTACCAAGCCAATCGGTTTTAAGTTCGTTAATAAAAGTTACTTAATATAAAAAAAAAAAGATTTATTAAATCCAAACCATTTCTTTTCCCCAAATTACAGGAGTGGTTGCTCAACTCTTCCACTGTGTCCTGTGACCGCATACCCCTAGGCATCGCCAGCAGTACCCATTACAGTCTTGTTGCATATGTCATTTTAAACCACTTAAACGAATAAAAAATTACACTTTGTTCTAAAAAAACTGACTGCAATTTTTTTTTTTTTTAACACTATCCATTGTAATGCTCAAAAACTTACCACCAGGCTTATTGAAGCCACCTCGCTCTCCAGCGCTGCTGGGGGGATAAACGAAGAAATGAAGGCCTTTCCCTTTACAAAGCCAGGACCGCTCTGAGCCTCTGCGGCTCACAGGGGAGAAGGGCACTGGCTAAACATCTCCAAACATCTGTCTGTCTCTCTCTCATCTCGGCACTAGGCCTTTCTTCAGGGCAGCTCGCTCAAATTTTCTTTACATATAAGCAACCTGGTGTGGTTTGAGGCACCGCTTTTGCTGGCGGGGACCCCGTTTTGGCGGGCGGCCCCCTGACGTTACTCAGAGGGGTATTATCAGTGCAATACTTGGCAAAGGAAGGGGGTTTGGGTTATGAATTGAGGTGGTCTGTTTTGTCTCGGTGGAAATTTGAGGTTGTTTCAGTGGTCAACTCCCTCCCCTCGGTGTGGACACGAAGGTGCACCCTCAGCCTGTGGCAGCGCCGGGCCCGCGGGTCCTTGACATTAACAGTGTAAAAGGAGACAACCACACGCGAGACCTACAACACAGTTCAGCTGACATCGCCCCTAAAACCCTCAAAATAAAGCCATACATTCAGGTCACTACTGAATTTAACAACTCTCTGGAGGGAGAACTTACAGAATACAGCGGGGGCTCCAAGGCCTGGGGTGCAGCTTTGTGGACACACTCACATTTGGGCAGATGCCAATACAAACAGGGCCACAGCTTTCACTAAAAGCTTTGGCTGAAGCATTCACAGCTAAAACCGCTTTGGAGTGCGGTGGCTGGGTAGGAAAATGCCACCTGGAAAAGGATTTGGGATGTTTCTTGCTCTTTTTTTTTTTTGTTTTTGGGTGAGATGAGCTGTTTGAACAGAGGTGAGCAGAGGAGGGAGAGCACTGCGAATTTTCCAGCAAGTATTGCACCTCTAATACTGGGAAAAAAAAAGTCAATACAGAATTTCGAGCTGTTGCATGCAGCTTTGCCTCCTCTCGTTAAAGTACACACCATTTACGTAATGTCTCTCTTTTTAAACATAGACTTTTACACTTTTTTTTTTTTTAACGTTACACAATTCTAAAGTAGTAGTATACCCTCCTCTGGTTTTATTACCAAACAACAAGTATGCAGTTACCAAAGTTACAGAAGGATTCCGATTATACAATGAATACATTTGGTTAAAAATATTCTATGTATATTTTTCCTCTCCATATGGACACCGTGTCTAGTCCCACTTTTCATTATGCTGCCGGCTGAGTACTGAGTACGGGTACTTTTTAAGTATTGAGGTGTATACAAGGCTCTCACTTTGTAACCTGTAGCATATAAATGCGACAAAGCATGTTAAAAAGTTTCCATTTTCATAAAATATCAAATAATCGAGGCAATGAAAAAGGGCATGTTAATAACATTGAGCTCCTTACCTGCTGGAGACACTGAAATCCATCACCACAGCATGCTAAGGTGGGCCGAGTTCCCCTACCTGCCCTGGGCGTCCCCTGAAGGCCACCTGTTCTATGGACAGCAAAACTCTACGTCCATAAGGCGTGAGGGACCCTTGTAAGGGTCTGGCCAGGTGGGAAACCACTAGGGCCGTGAATTTGAGCTGGGATTAAGGTGTGAAATCAGAGACAGGTGACAAATCTTTGGCATGTGATGCTCTGAAGGGACTAGAAATTTGAATGTGATGATAGACATTTCAGGTGTCTACATCTACTTTAATCGTTAAGAGATAAATACATCACGGGTGAAATCTTTATGCAGAACTCAGTTCCACTCAAGCCAATTCCAGGCTGGCTGTGTTCCCACACAAACCAGTCTTTTTCTTCTCTTTCTTGGATTTCTCTGATAAAGATTTCATGCCACGTCAATTCGCTGCGGCAGAGCTATGCAGAATGGGGCCATCAGCTGCCAAACTGGGGTTGCCACTGGGCTGTGCCACATGGGAAGAAGTTGCCTATGGAGGTGCAGCTGCCAGCAGGGCCCCCCTGCCAGCACCAGGGTGGGCATGGTCCCACACCACACCTAGGGACGCTCTGCATAGCTCTGAGCAACAGGGTGAGGGGTGGAACACACACAAAGCTATGAATTCCCTCTCTGAGGAGCCTCTGGGGTTAAGTTTTCCTCCCTCGCCTCTAGCAGAACAACCACTGTGGAGGGGGAGACACCTGAAGGCACAGGTGTACCAAACCAGGTTTTGCCATCTGTTAAAATGGCCAAACTGGTTCAGAGCACCTAAACGCTCCGAGGGGAGCAGGCCTGGCAGCCAAGGCACATCTCTACGTTCCTGGGGTCCTTCTCCACGCTCCAAGTGTCCTGGGCACTGGAAGCCACGGCTCTGCCAGCAGCTCCGCGTGCGCCGCGCTGCTGAGTTGGCTGACGGCGTAACACGGGGCTGACACAAGGCTCCTGCCCTGCACACACACCTGACCTGCCAAAATCCCCACTCCTGAGGCACAGGGAGTGACCCCTGGACCTGTCGAAAGGTTTGTGTGTGTTCCATCCAGAGTTACTGTTAAACCCCACAGAGGTTTCCACCTCTGGGTGACCACGAAGGGAGCTGAAAGTGCCAAGGTCAGCAATATCCCAAATTTACCCTCCCAGGGCCCAACCAGCCACAGGACAAACCAAACAGATCCTGCTCCTATTTCCCTTAGGATAATGTTTCCATGGATTACAAGCAATGCTGCGAACAGAGATGTTCTCCATGGAAGCACAGTTGGGAAGGTCAACCTTTCAGTCCCTTCTTTGCATTTCAAACCCTATGGGTAAACCAGAATTAGATAAAAGGAGAAAAGATTTGCTCTTACCCCATTCCACCACGTCCTCCTCCCCGCCCACCTCTGCTCATGCCTCCACGATCATATCCCCCACGTCCCCTGCCCCGGCTGTCGGGGCCGCTCAGATTCCGGCTCTCTCCTGGGCCTGAGAAGCCTCCAGACTCCTGCCCATACATGTTCATGCTGCTGGGATGGTCCTGACGGAACGAGCCTAGGGAAGTGTGTGACACACACGTTAGGGAGCTGCAGGCAAGAGTGCTTGGAGCTGCCTGACCCCTTCCTGGCCCCTTTTACATGCCCTCAGCCCCAGCCACAGCAGCACAGGATCCTTTAGGCTGGAAAAGCCCTCTGAGACCACTGAGTCCAACCATTCCCCAGCACTGCCAAGGCCACCACTAACCATGTCCCCAAGTGCTACATCCACACGGCTCTTACATCCCTTCAAGGATGGTGATTCCAACACTGCCCTGGGCAGCTGTGCCAGGCTTTGACAACTCTTCCTTGAAGAAGTTTTCCCAAATATCCAATCTAAACCTCCCCTGGCACAGTTTGAGGCTGTTCCCTTGTTCCATGGGAGCAGAGCCTGACCCCACCTGGCTGCACCTCCTGTCAGGGAGTTTACAGAACGAGATGGTTTCCCTGAGCCTCCTTTCCTCAAGGCTGAGCCCCCACAGCTCCTTATCTATCTCTTCACCACAATTAGCTTGTGCTTCCGTGTTTCCAACCTTTGCTGAGGGGATTATCCCAACCTGTGACCACTTCATTGAAGCCGTTCCGTGAGAAAGGGCAAACCCCAACTACAACCTGCTCTCCCTTCACCACAGCTCTAAGTTTTAGACCCAAAATAATGCCAAGGCTCCTTCCCAGGGACCCCACTCACTCTGCTGGCCATAGCTGCTGCTCTGCTGGCTGTACTGGCTGGGGGCCTGGCTGTAGGACCCGGTCGGTGGTGGGTAACTGGTCGGAGGTGGTTGCTGCCCATAGCTGCTTTGCTGGCCATAACTGGTCTGTTGGCCGTAGGAGCTCTGCTGCCCATAGCTGCTTTGCTGCGAGTAAGTGCTCTGATCGTAACTGCTTGGCTGTGTGGATGAATAGCTGGAAGAGACAAGCATTGGAAAGATGGAATGATAAGGCAATTCCCTGGCAGTGTGCATGAGGCTGCAGGAGTGGCTCGTGCTGGAAGGCAATGCAATTATAAGCCATATGTAGAGTTGTAAAGCGTTTGAGAAGCTGAAGTCATCCTATGGAGATCAGGCTGGAGGACTGCTAAAAGCAAAATCCATGTGACCAGTCACAGTTTATTCATACCTCCAGGAAGAGGCAGAAGTGCCAGGGCATAACTCTGTGGCAACAGAGGTAACAGGCTCTCCTGAAGCATTTTTAGCTGATGGATAACAAACAGTTCCCCTCATGCTTCTCAGGCTTTCAGAATTTCACAATGTACCTTTTAGAAGTCATATTAAACACAGCTGAGGGGAGAGGTGAGCTCCTGGCCACACCACGTGTGCAAGGAGGCAGCAAAAGGTCTCTCCACCCACTCTAAGAAAATTCTTAAAATTCTCAATTCTCACAATAAAAAAAATCTAGGAGATGTCTTAAAAACATTTGTTATCATTTTCCCTAGCAGGTGTGCACGCAGAGGTATTTCTACACTCAATCACAGCCTCATTTGTCCTACCACAACAACTACAAGAAGCACAGCTCCCTCCTCCCAAGACCCCAAAGCTCCTTTCCCATCTCTTTGTTTAAAATCCCTTAGGAAAACCCTTCAAGCTGAACATTGCCAAGCCAGCTCAGCCTCTGGAAGCGTTACCTGGTCGGAGGGTAAGAGGGAGGCGCGGTGACAGGCTGCATGGGGTAGCTCGCAGGCACCTGGGGGTAGCTGTAGTTGCTCTGCCCATAGCCCAGGCTGGGCTGGCTGTAGCCTGTTGTGCTGGACTGGGGCTGGCTGGTCTCTGCTGGTTTGCTGCCATCCTGGGGTCTAGGGAGAAACATGGAACAACATTGGTGCCCAGCCCTGCACCTGGCATCAGCAAAGGGCTCAGGTGTCCCAGGACAGTGGGTAGCATTACAAGCTGGCACTGGTCGGCATCAGTTGCTGTGCCAGCAGTTAGTATGGAACACACACATATGATTTTAGCACTCGTTGATTGGGTGTTTGTACACTCCAGGAAAGGCCCAGGCAGTGGCCTGAGCAGAGAGCATGGAGCACCACAGCTTCTGTTCACTCCAAGGCTGAGGGATTCAGTTTGGCCCTGGAGCTGCGTGGAGGACGTGGAATGCCAACAAGGCAGTCAGCAGCACCGCCCTCCGCTCCAGCTGCTACTGCACAGCCCTGGGAAACCAGGAGCTGAAAGCAGCCAGCAAGGCTGCCAGCTAAATGCCCCATTGTTTGGTTCAGAATCCAGCTCAAGCAGATATTGCCTCATATACGTGATCTCATGAAAGCAAAAGGATGCTGGGGGTGGACTGGGTAACCTTTAAAGGTCCCTTCCAACCCCAATCACCCCGTGATTCTGTGCTCAGTATTAACTCTCAAGGCCTGAAAATAGAGAGGACACTTTGCATGTGATTCACATGTCCTCTTCTTTTGTATTCGTCCCACAGCTTAAAAGCTGTGTGGATGTGGCACTTGGGACATGGTTCAGCGGTGGACTTGGCAGCCCTGGGGGAATGGCTGGACTCAATGATCTCAGAGGCTTTTCCAGCCTAAAAAATCTATGAGTCTATAATCTCTAAGTGTTCTCAGAGTGAAGGAAAAAGAGTGAAGCTACTTTTTTGCTGTAGAAAAATTATTTTCAATGTCAGGATTAAAAAATTCATCCTCAAAATTTACATCCTTTTAAAGTGTAACCTGACAGAGCTGTGCATTTCCTCACCACAGTGGTTGCTACAAACACCAGGTATGCAAATAAATCAGCTTTCACTCACTACCAAACAAGTTTCCATTATGAATTCTACATTTTTCATATCCTCTGAGCAAACAATTAAACTGAATATATGATTGACAATGCCCAGAGAGGAGAGATTTAAAAGGAAGCAGTTTGCAGCATGTGCATCCACCCCAGCATCCTGCCTGACCCTGTGGCTCCAGATCAGACCTCACTTGGCCGTTTTCTGCTCCACACCGTGAGTGGAGAGCCTGATTTCTCTGCGTGGTTGTTCCCTCATCCCCCAGGAGCAGCGCTGACTCACCGTGCCGGAGCAGAGCCCTCCCACGCTGCTTCCCCCAGCCCTGAGAGGCACTGGGATCCGAGCAGCAAGAGCTGAGCTCCAGCACAGCAGGCAGAGAGGTGTCAGCAAACCAGTGGGCCCGGGGCGGTGGTGTGCTGGGGGTGAGGAGAGGAGGAGGTACCTGGAGGGAGTGGACGGCGCTGGCTGCTGCCCATAGGCCGGGTAGGCGGGTTGGGTGCCGTAGGCGGACGGTGCTGCGTAGGAGGTCTGTGTGGTGGTGACCGTCGCGGTGTTGGTGTCGTAGGCGGCTGTGCCGTAGCCCTGGATGGGCTGACTGTATGCTGGGGGGGCAGTCGGGGCACTGTAACCTGCAACAGGCCACAACAGCCTCAGGTTAGGCTGGAAACTTTCACTCAGAATCACAGAACCATGGAATGGTTTGGGTTGGAAGGACCTTAAAGCTCATCCAGTCCTACCCCCTGCCATGGGCAGGGACAACTTCCACTAAAACAGGTTGCTCCAAGCCCCACCCAACCTGGCCTGGAACACTCCCAGGGATGGAGCAGCCACAGCTTCTCTGGGCAACCTGTGCCAGTGCCTCAGCACCCTCACAGGAAACAATTCCTTCCCAATATCCCATCTAGCCCTGCCCTCTGGCAGTGGGAAGCCATTCCCTCTTGTTCTGTCCTTGTTCCAAAATGCCTCTTCAGCTCTCTTGTAAGCCCCAAGTATTTCAGACTATGGCACTTCTGCTGGGCACAGAGCCAGTTCTACCACCACAAAACCACCTCAGACGACCTGAAAAATGATCAACTAACCCACACCAGCCCCTCACTTCCCTGCAGGAACCTCCTACCCTGGGAAGCCTCAGCCTGCAGCCCCAGCTCTACCCTCACAATCCCAAACTCCCATGAGCTGCTGGAAGTCAGCCACCCTTACCCAGCACCCCGAGGGGGATTGTTTACAGCAACCAGAGCCTGGGGTTAAGGCACCACAGCACAGGCAAGGCAAGCTGAGGCATGCAGCATCTCCTCCACAAAGGCAGGATAACAACCCCCCTAGCTCCAAAGCCAAAGAAATCCAACAGATTTAGCAATTCCAGTGCCATCCTTTCAGCTCTTCAGAAAAATAAAGGCACAGAATAGCACCAGGCTGACCTGAGAAGTCTTCTAGAGGCATTTCTGAAGTCTTATTTTACATCAGCAATGCTGGAAACAAAAGAAAAGCACTTTCCATTTGCTTTAACGTAATAGAAAGGTCAAAAGAGACACATCAAGCAGCTCCTGATGTTTTGTGTGCCTTCCCTCTCTTAGAATTTGTTTGGCTTAGGTAAAAAGCTTAGAGCTCTAAGATTTCGCTCCGACCAGTTTTACAAGAATATCCAAGATCCCATTTAAATTTAGCCTTTCCAGCATCTGGTGTATAATTTAGTGACCATTTGGCTTGTCTCAAAGGTGAACAGCAAACCTGGAATAAACACAGTGGCTTCTCATCGTTAACAGCCTCCTGAGCAAGTTTCCCAATTAACAAGCAGAGACTTAAGATGAAGAAATAGCAACTAAAAATGCTGTTAGCAGATCTGACTGACTAAAAATACAAAGCATCGACTGCCAAAGAGCAGCCCAGGCTTATTGCTGGGATCAGTGAAGATAACAGCTTCTCCATCACTTCTGATTTTTAATAAACATGGGAGGCTTGTGACATACTTTCCCTGCTCGTTAGACAGCACTTTAGGTAAATTGTGCTGCAGCACTTTATTTCAATTCCCTAATCTGCAAAGCAAACACCCTCCCAGCAGCGGAACATCGCGTGCCCTCACAGAGCACCACGGCACTTCCACCTCCCACTGCCCTGCCAAAGCACCACGGCCCTTCCCAGTGGGCAGAAAGAGGAAGAGGATGAGAGGAGGAACTTTGCACAGCATATTAATTTAAAAAAAACCCCAAACTTCAGCTTTCTGTCCCATGAGCTTTCTGGTAGCCCTCAGGGTCCTGATGAAGGGGCTCCAGGAGACACAAGGCTGTGAACAGCCAGCCCAGACCCTCTGTCTGCTCCCACAAAGCCTCTTTCCTCCTGCCCCCAGCCCCCCACCCTTCCCCATTCCAGGGCTGCCAACCTGGGAATGCAAGCTGGACTCCCAGCAGAAAAAAAACTTGTATGAATCACTAGAAAATCAGCTTTTATGGTAATTATTCCATATTATTGTTCCATATTACATTATTCCATTATTCCGTATTCCATTATTCCATATTCCAATACTCATTATTCCATGTTCCATAGAACATACATGTTCTCTGAAGAGTGAAGTCCCGAGTGCTGCTGAGCAGGGTGAACAGCTTGGTGCCCAACAGGAAGGTTTCTTAGAGCTCCAGACAAACTGAAACAGCCCCAAACTTCGATGTGAGCCGCCACAGCGTTTCCACGGTGAGCACCAACACCAGGAGTTAAATAAATCCTTATTTTAACTGCCCAAAGGCTAACCACATCCTAAAAAAGCCTGTTCTCTGCCTAAGTACAGCCTGCATTCCATGTGCTGCAGCCACAGCCCTGCCCTGGGCTGTTCCCACTGAAGCCACAGGGCAGTCCTTCCCTTTCCCAGTCCTGCTCCTGGGAGCACTAACCTTCCCAAGCAAGCAGGTTTGTTCTCACCTGGCTCTGCACAGGACACAGGAGACGAGAGAAAACTGTCTTGAATTTTAAAGCTTCAGCTCTAGATGGAGCATTTCCCTTGTGGAAGTGTGTGCTCA